GGACCCGGCCCTTGGCCTTGGTGAAGCTCATACAAGCTCATCAAACTCCTCAAGTGGTTTAAAATAAACTAAAAATTGCAGTTTGTTTTCTCTTGTGACAGTCAGCTGTCAATTCTTCCCATAGGAGTGAAGGAGTGTCATCAGACCACTATTTTTAGGATAATCGCTGCCATTCTGCACCTGGGGAATTTGGACATCCATGCAGAACGGGATGGCGATGCCAGTTACATATCGGTAGGTCACCAGCAAGACTGGGCAAGCGGGGAGCTTTGTATGCTCATAAATTGTGCTGCATTGGATGTGTTGGGCTTTGCAGCAGTTTTATTAATTTTTTTTTTTTATTTTGAAAACACATCATCTTTTCCTGTGTGCTTTGTTTTTCCTGGAAGATAGGGCCAGAAAAGTGCCTTATTTCTCCTCTGTAGCCACAGCCCATAAGCGAGGTGATTTCAATACTCAAAGCAGCACTGCACAGTTAATTAGCAAGAATAAATAAGACTAAAGATGCCTTAGTGGTGTTTTTTCTGTTTCTGTGTTTGTTGAAGGGGGAAAAACAGTGATTATATAGAAAATGTTGTCCTGTCAGTTATCATTGCATCCCAGCCTAGGTCATTTGTTCCTAATTAAAGTGTTAAAGTGGGTTCTGCACACACTTTTAGTGATACCCACGAGATAATGTGGTGTGTGAGTAGATGGATGCTGGGGGTAGTTTGCTTGATAGTTGGCAACATGGGTATACAGAAGTGATCTGCTCCAAAAATATTGGCTCTGTAATGGAGTTTGTGTCGTTTAATTACCTTCAGATGTAATTGCATGGTATTAAATCAATCCTGTTATGACTTTGAATCAAAAAGGTGTCGGAGCAAAAAAGCGTCCTAGAGGTATTTTAAAATACATTTTCCTCTCCGTCCCCAAACCCATCCCGCTTCTGTACGTGCACATATCTAACTGGAAACAGTTTATTTCCTTTAGGTATGTATTTTTACACCGAGGAAAGGGAAATTGATTTCTCATTGTCCAAAAAGCAGCGTAACAGGGACTCACAACTGCCTTGTCTTAGTTTGAAGGAGGGGGGAATACAACGTAGTAGAGGAAATGAAGTTCCCCTTTCACGTTATTGATTATGCAAAACACGAGGCATTCTGGTAATGCACATTTTGCAGCTTTTTGTAATTAAAAACGGAGTGAATTTGTAAAAGGCCTGGTGGGGCTTAATCAAGGTTGCTCTGAAGGAGCCTTTTTGTCTGTGTCCACAAAGACTGGATGAGTGCTCATCACTTACTCCCTGTTCCCAAGAAAAAGCTGCTAATGTCTTGCCCTAATTTAGGAACCTGGTATTAGAAACTCCCAGGTTTTTTTCGGGTATCGCCAACCTGCTGATGTGCCTCTCGTTACCCGCAGAGCCAGGACGAGCACTTGATCAAGTTCTGCAGCCTGCTGGGCACGGAGCAGAGCCAGATGCAGCACTGGCTGTGCCATCGCAAGCTGGTCACCGCGGCCGAGACCTACGTGAAGGTCATGTCAGTGCAGCAAGTGGTGAATGCCAGAAACGCCCTGGCCAAGCACATCTATGCCCAGCTCTTCAGCTGGATCGTGCAGCACATCAACAAGGTCCTGCACACCACCGTGAAGCAGCATTCCTTCATCGGTGTGCTCGATATCTACGGGTAGGTGTGGTTTCTGCTTGTAAGGCCGTTAAATTAATCCTTTCTGATTCATCTTGCCCTCCTGGTAGCTCGTGCTTGACCTTGGTTTGTGGTAGGGAGTGGGGAATAATAGAAAGGGATGCAAAAAAGTGCAGTGATGCATGGCTTGCAGTTTTCATCCTCCTTTGGTTTGTGCAGTCCTGGAACAGTGCTGGCTTTTGGGATTTGCCTCCCCTGCAGTTCCCATTTGGGATTTCTGTTTAAAGCACAGAGCTTGAAGATGAGCGAGGTGTAAAGGTGCAGGTGTGGAGACCCAAAATCTGTGCTTGGTGTTGCTGTGGAATTTGAGGAAACTACTTTGCATCTTCAGCAGTGAAACCTCTGCTGCAGGGCCCTTGTGCAGTGAGGGGGTTTGGAGGATTTTGGGAATGGACAGTGAGTGGGTAAGGTGCAAAAAGCTTTGGCATAACCCAGGGCAGAGCTTGCAGCCTGCAACCTCAGGGGCAATGAGCTGCTTTTAGCTTGGACAGGGAGCCAGCTACTGTGCTGTCTGTCATCCTGGCACTTAAATGCTGATAGAAAAGGGATGTGAGAGTTGCATATGAAGAGCTTGTTTTAGTTGTGGTGCTGCAAAGAAGTAGCGGATGGAGGAGAAAGGGCTGGGTTATGTCAGTTGTGGGGTGGAGAAGGAAAAAGGTCTGCTGGGTTTGTTGTTTACCCCTTCCCACTTTCAACACCATCCCTTTTCTGTCGCTTTGGGGATTAAAGTGGGACAGCAGTGACCTGCTGTGCTCCCATAAAATACATATTGAGATGCTCAGTTGCTCCTGTTTCCAAGGACAAGGTGGGGTGGATGAGTTGTAGCTGCTTCAGGACTCAGTGCCTGACCCAGGGCAGTTGCTGTGCTTGCTCCATCCCAAATTTCGTGTAACGGCAGCCTCCTTGTAAGGTCTCTCACACCCAGGTGATCCTCAGGTTCAGAATGAAATGCCGCAGTGCTTCTGGGTCAGCTGCAGAAAGGCTCTAATGCCTACACAGGTACTGCAGTTGGATCTTGCATATAGAACCTCTCAGGGGGCTCCTACAGCTACTGATATGTGGGATGTTGATTTTTAACATCTGGACAGCAGAAAGGATGCCAGAAATCAGTGCTGTAGCATCAGCATAGCTGCTGCCCACTCATCCACATCAGCGACTGCTGCCATACGCCAAGGTTTGCAGGAAAGATCGTATTAAGTGTGCTACAACTACAGTCCTTGGTGATTTTTGGAATGGCTTTTGATGCTGAGGTTGCTCTCGTAATTTTGTCTCTCCTAGGTAGATAGCACAGGACCTGGAACTTCTTAAATCATCAGCTGGGGCTGGCACTGTCTGGCTTAAAAGACTACATGAGATGTAAAAGCTGATTTCCATCAGTGTCCCTACAATTAGAGATTTCTGCGGGCTGGAATATAATAAATGTGGAGCTTTGTGGGCAATGGCGCGTCAATGCAGAAAGCTGGATGTCTGAGTTACGAAATCAGACGCTGTCTTTCAGAAATCTGAGTGAGAGGAGACGTGAGGATAACGCTCATGAAAGATTAAGCTGGGCTGGCAAACCTGTTAGGGTGGAAGAAAAGACTCCCTTAGCGGCACATCTCCTGTGCCTCACGTCCAGCATGGACCAGCGGGTTGCTTTTACGGCACTGGTGCCACCGCAGAGTGCAGCGGGGTTTTTTTTATCATGAGGACCTGCAGATCCTATAGAAAGAAGCAGGTCTACGGGGGACAGGTGTCTGTAATGCTTGGGCATGACTCCCGTGCTGTGATCACTCCTAAAAGGGACCATAAATCCCTTTCGAAAGGAAAATTGCTGTCTAAACGCTGAGTAATTCACAATGCAGTGACGTTGCGTGCTGGCAACCTGAGTCTCTGCGGTCCTTGACAGTGGTTTGGTTCCCCAGACTCCTGATATTTGGCAGTTTTGATGCATTTTGTGAAAAACTGGATATTTTTTTTTCTAACTGTACTTCTGTTTCCTGCGGGAGAGAAATTTAAGCTGAAAAGGGAGCCTGCAAGCAGCCTTCACTGCACGTCCATGATATCCTGATGCTCCTGAAGGAGAACTGTCCCCATGGGTGGGATTTCTAGGGACAGGGTCCAAGGGGTGGATGCAGAGGCTGTGGGTTTTGTCTCCTAATTCCCTGCTGCGTCCTTAACTCTCTGTTAACAGTGAGGTGAGAAGGTGCAGCGTTAAAAACCTTTTATGTATTTATTGAAAGTGCATCATTTGCTGTAGTGGCAGTAGCACAATCCATCAGAAGAGTGGATTTATGTGGATGTTCGTGGACTCGGCAGGGTCGGCTTGTTTTTACCTCGGCTTGCCGTGTGAAGGGGAGTGTAAACACCCAGGCAGCCAGCTGTGTGCTGGACTTATTTATGAACTTTAAATATTTCAGTATAAACCCCGGTGCTGTGGCGGATTTCGGAGATGCCAGTTGCACAGCAGAACGAGAAACAGGAGAAAAGCCAAAATGCGGTATTTGCTCCCCAGTGTCTTCCCACAGGAGGTGTCCTCAAGCCAAGATGTGCTTTCCGGAGTGGTGAATGCATTTGTTTTGTTTGCACCAGGACATAGGTGCTGAAATAAATAGAAAATAAACATCCCTTGGTTTGCTTTTCCTGTATTGGTCATCTTAGCGCAGTCACTTTGTGCAGGCAGGACCTCCTGGCACACATGGAGTCGGCAACCGAAATGCTACATCAATTAGCAAATTGCATTGGCAGAGTCCCTCAGTTAGCGACTTCACCAGATTTCCCTTGGAGTTGGTGTTGTGCAGCTGCTCCGCCCCTGGCTGGCGCTCGCCGAGAGGTTCATAAATCACATCTGCTGTCTCTGGAGCAGAAAAAGCTCCCACTCTGGTATCTTTTCCTCTTGTATCTCTGCTCTCGTGGTGTTTTTCCACCTAACCCACCCTGTCTCTTCATCTCCTTTTTAATTAAATCTTTTATTGCCTCATTGCTCTGATCATGAACCCGCAGGAGTTGCTATTTCCAAGGAGGAGACCCTGATCTGCTTGGTGTGATGGCCATGTAACCAAGATCACAGATCCACAGCATGATTTGGGTGGCAAGGGACCCCAAAATCCCCCCAGTCCAACCCCTATGGGCAGGGACACCTCCACCAGCCCAGGCTGCTCCAGGCCTCGTCCAACCTGGCCTTGGGCACTGCCAGGGAGGGGGCACCCACAGCTTCTCTGGGCAACCTGGGCCAGGGCCTCAGCACCCTCTCAGGGGATAATTTCTTCCTTGTATTTAACCTAAATCTCCCCTCTTTGTTTGAAAGCATCACTCCTCATCCCATCACTCCATCCCTTGTAAAAAGTCCCTCCCCAGCTTTCCTGTAGCCCCTTCAGGTCCTGGAAGGTGCTCTAAGGTTCCCCTGGAGCCTTCCCTTGTCCAGGCTGAAAAACCAAGCAGAGCAGGAGCTCTTCAAGGACGTATTCATCACTGAGGCTCTGGCCACATGTTTTATAGAAGCACCTGTTGGTCCAAACATCAAATTTTGTTGCATTAAAGACTGCAAAGCTCAGTTCCTGGGATAGGGAGCGATTGAGCATCTTCTGCTCAGCAGGGACTGTGTCAGCTCCAGAGGCAATGCTGAAGTACTGCAGAAAGTACTAGAAGTACTGAGTTTTGGGGAATAAAATGACCTCTTCTAGTGTTTTAAGACTGTTCTGCCTGCTCTTACAGCACCTATTACCCAAGCAATTATTTCGCCATTTGTCATTACAGCAGCTTACTCATTAAGCACAGGGAGCTTTGCCACTCCTTCCCTTATTTTAATCCTTACAGTCACGTGTCAGAGACTTTTTGTTTCTCTCCTCTCCAACTGTGCCTTGAAAATAGAAATATAAATAACATAATTCCCCATGGTAGCTGAAAAATGTCCTTTTTTTTAAGAGCAAGATCCCTCTTCCTGTCCCTGGGTGCTGTGTACTTCAGCCCCAGGGTCTCCACTGCTTGCCTGGAGTTTGTGCTATTAAAACTGTCTGCTTTTCCCTTTCTGATTTCCCTTTGCCTTTTCCCTTTCTGATTTCCCTTTGCCTTTTCCCTGATTTCCCTTTGCCTTTTCCCTTTTCCCTTTCTGATTTCCCTTTGCCTTTTCCCTTTTCCCTTTCTGATTTCCCTTTTCCCCCTTCCCTCTGCAGTGTTTCCCCTCCCCCTCTCCAAATGCCAGTTTTGAGCTCATTTTGTTCCATGGCCCACAGAAGGGTGGGATAACATTTTGTCAAGGGGAGCTTTGGTAGTTTTTGGGATCACTGAGCCCAACACCAAACTCCTACTAAGAATCGTGTTGGAATTGGAGCTGAAAGCACCATTTCTCCCTCTGCCTTCCAGGAGTCGCTTGCCCACGTGTATTTAATTTTTGTGCTATCAAGGATACAATACATAGGCTATAATTATGACTTTCATACCTTCTTCTTCTGCTCCATTGAATTCCATTAAAAACACCATGTTGGGTCTTTTAAGACAGCAGCTACTGTTTCTCCGTCGCCCTTGCAGTGAATATATTTGGACTTAATATTTCATAATATTTTTCCCCGAGAGAGGATGTTAAATTTTCCTGCTGCCTGATGGGCAGGAAGCTGCAGTCGTACCGAATATCTCATTCACGCGTAGCAGAAGAGACCTTTTGAATCCCTTGAGTTGTGGCAAGGAAAAACAGACATTCTGGGGAATGAGGAATAAAGTGTATATTTGGGATAGGAGGAATGCGAAGAGACGCTTGAATAACCGGTGTTCCCCATCACGCAGATGACACCGTCGCAGAGAAAAGTAGATTTGGAGCCGAAGCAACGCTTAATGCTGATTTATTCATTGCTTTGCAGGTTTGAAACTTTTGAAGTGAATAGCTTTGAACAGTTTTGTATCAACTACGCCAACGAGAAGCTTCAGCAGCAGTTCACCTTGGTAAGGTCAGCTTGGAAATGTTCCATGGAACCTAGCAGAAAAATGTAGCAAGGATTGTTGTACATCTGGCTTCTGCTTCATGGCATTTAACTGCAGGCTGGCCAGCGTGACGGTAGTCCTTGATTTAATGTGAGAAAAAGCATGGGTGGAAACCTGCCGTTTAAGTGTGGCTTAAACCTCTGCAATGAAAAATCTGTATTAAATAGCAAAATCGGACGCGCTCCCCATTCTTCATTCGGACATTCCTCACAAAAACCTGATATTCTGCTGTTTTATTAGGCACAAGCGCTTACCTGCATGGGAAATGAAACCAGTAAGGGGTCGTCTTCTGCTTTTGTCATAAGCAGGGAAAAAAAAAACCCACTATCAGTTTCAGGATACAAGGAAAAAGTTGTTAAATTTGACCAGCCTAAGTACTGCAGAGTGGTTTGGCGCTTTGGAACTGTACCATATGCATGGACATGAACGTTTGCAGTATATCTAATGCACCAGATCGCTGCTGCTAAAAATGAAAAGTAAATTATGGATTGTATTTGCACTGTTCCTATCTTACTCAGTATGTCCAGCTATCACTTCTGAAGCTTATATAAATTCAGACTCGGTGATGGCATGTTTGAAGAGATTTTTAAAAGCTGTCTTTGAAGAAAAAAAAGTGCATTTGAAAAATCATTTTTTTTAATATGCTTGGAGTATCTCAGAAATAGCCAGAGACAATTTATCTGCTTGGGCAGAGGCCTGAGATATAGAAGTCATGCAAAGGTTTTTATTTTTTTATTTTTTAATAAGAATTTTCAATAGGAATGTTCCCGAGTCAGTCAGATACTGCTGCTGATACCCCTTCTGGGACGGCGGGTGCTTTTTTGTGCAGCTTTCTTCCCAGATTGGGGTCACACGCGCTCAGCCCTGGCTGGGCTCCCAGCTCGTGGACCTGCTGCAGGTCACTGGTTTAATCAGCCGAGCGCTCAAGGAGAGCGGGATTTTTCTCAGCCCAAGAGATATGTGTGCCACTGCCACTTCGGTAGATGGCTCCCACCTAAATGCAGTGACAGCTTCAGTCATTTTCTAGTGGAAGTCATTTCAAACCTTTATTTCCCCCCCTGCCCCATGGTTTCCTGGTGTAATGTTTTTATTTTCCTTGCCAGAAGCTGCACTGTGTACAGCTTTGTCCCGGCTCTGCCATTTACATGAGGACACTTAAAGCTTCTGTGGCTTCTGGATGTGCTGAGGGATGCTCCAGTGGGGACCAGTGGGTGAACTGGGAAGGGGCTGGTGCTGTACTGGGTCAGTAACCCTGCTGTTTTCCTGCTCTCAGCACGTCTTTAAGCTGGAACAAGATGAGTACATGAAGGAGGGGATCCCTTGGACTCTCATCGACTTCTGTGATAACCAGCCCTGCATAGACCTCATCGAGGCAAAACTTGGCATCTTGGACCTGCTGGATGAAGAGTGCAAGGTAAAGAGGACCACACACCTTTCTGCCAATTTATTTTTATGAATTCTAATCCAACCATGCTGTGATTCTGTCTCCTGTTTGGCTGACCTTGCCAGCATCAAAGGACATCCTCCACATAACAAGGATTTGCCTAAGTCGATGCCAAGGTCTGGCTGACTTCAGGCAGGCCTGGATTTCACACAAGCTTTGCAAAAGACTTGAAATTTCATGTCCCTTCTGCTCCTCTCAGATAGAGAAGCAAGAGCCAGCGATGAGCTCTAGAAGTGTCTTCAGCTGTGTAGACTTTGTGTTTATGCATTTCTTCATCATTCTTCTGTTGGGGTTTGGAATTGTGTTTTCGCTCAGCTTTTCTCAGTTTTGGGTTTGTGGTTGGTTGATTTGGTTTGTTCTTTTTAAACCAAGCTTGTAATGCTGGGAGAAGAAATGCCAGAATAGAAAACTTTGATGGGAATCCATTAGAAAAGTTGGACTCCTTCACAGAATCCCAGAACGTTAGGGATTGGAAGGGACCTCAAAAGACCATCCAGTCCAATCCCCCTGTCGGAGCAGGAACACCTAGATGAGGTTACATTCCTTTTTCAGTCATGGATTATCAAGATAAGAGATAGAACCAGACATCGAAGATAGGAGATTTTTTTTCTTGGGTTGTCTCTTTCAAAGGTCTTTGGAGTGAAAAGAAGGTGGAAAGTCCAAAGTCTTCAGGTGTGGTTGTCTCAAGAGGAGAGCTCGGAGTGATGATGTGATGAAAAGGGCTCCTATACTGGGCAGAGCAGCTTGTACCTCTTCAGGTTGTGGTGTTTGCAGAGCAATGATGATGAGGAAATACTGGTGAGAGTGTTGTCAGATCAGGGCCATGAAACATCGTGATACTGCAGATGAGGAAACGAGTGCTGCACATACATGGTTGTAAGTGATAGGCGAGTGGGAGGGTTTTTGGATCTGTTGACACAAATAAAACCTTGCAGGCAATAGCTAGAAGTTGAAGTTAGACAGATTCAGCCATGAAACAAGCTGTGGGTATGGGACAGACGCAGTGGTCCAAGGGCAGAAGTGTCTCATTGCATCAGAGGGAAGGATTTTGGATCCATTAGACCAGTGTCCCTGTTGGGATTTAAGGAGATGTGTGACCTGTCCTTGTCTGGCAGGGAGGTGACTTGTCAAGTGGCTGCTGTCCTCCAAGCGACACGGATGCCTTCCCAAGAGCAACAAGGCTGTACCAACCACCACGTCCCACGAACTCAACCCCAGTCCAGGGCACAGATGTCCTGGCTTTTTGTGACAAGACAGAGCTGGGGCTTTGTCCTTTTCAAATCCAGTCTGGGGGAGGCTCCTTAGAAATGAGAACAAATTAAGCTTAATTTGATGCCCTTTAAATAGCATCTCTGGCAGCGCTGGCTCAGAAGGAGATCAGATTATTTGCTTGATATTCAGCACTATTTCATTTGGTCTCTGTGCTGTTAAGCCTGTTTAAATCCTTCAGGCTCGAGCCAGCTCCTGGATGTTGTGAGGACCGTAAGGAGCGTTTCCCTCATGCCGTATAGGCTGGTAATGCCCTTTGCTCCTCTCTGAAGCCCCCAGCACTGGTCATTGCTGGTGGCATTGCATTATATGGAGCAATTCTTGTGTAACAGCAGGAAACTGACCGTAAAA